CCAGCCAGCATGGCTGGCTGGGGAATTCTGGGAGTTGAAGTCCACACATCTTAAAGTTGCCGACTTTGAAAAACACTGCACTAAGCCCTTTGTTACTTGCTTGCACAGTGAAAGATTTGCCCACAGATTTTCTCGGAAGGAAACAAAATTGGTGTTTTCCACCCTGAAGGAAAAAAAGGGGAAGGAAATCAAGCAGGATCATGCACTCTCTCTATAAAATCGTTCTTGCATTGTGCTAACCCAGCAGTGGCAAACCTTTTGGGCTCAGCGTGTCAAAAATTTGGAAAATGCCTAACTTAACTCTGCTGGCGTGTCACACCCCCCCCCCCTCCGCGCAAACGAAAGAGAAACAATCCTTAAAAAATCCATTTATTTAAAAAAAAATACAGTCCAATCGTGGTGCTATGTATTATATAAAGCAACGTCAAATAATTACAGAAGTGAAATACGAGTAAAACAAACTGAGTTTCTTTGGTAACTCAAACAGAGAGAAGAGTTGTTGTTGGGTGTTGGTGAATGCTGGCGTGTCACCCAAAACATGCCATGTCACCTTTGACATGCATGTTGTAGGTTTGCCATCACTGTGCTAAGCCTTTAGCATGGCCTGCTTAGCTTAGCACAATGCAGGACATCAGGCACTAAAGTTTCTAATATGGCTGAGTGGGTGTACATCCATCTGTTTGGTCCACAAGTCATGGTTTGTACATAAACTTGATTCTGATCTCATGTTTTTAACACACTGGTTAACCATCGTGGCCACAGAAAATCTGCTGTGAAACTTTCCGCTCTAGATTTAAGCCACAATATTTCAGGAAGAGGCTGAGCCATACACTCAGGAGATCCCATAAGTGTCTTTTTCCTTTCACTTCCATCTCTTTAGGTTGTCGCTGCAAGTCTGTCGAATCCAGTGGTTGGAGGTTCCAATGAGGTTAGTTCTCTAGAAAAACAAATGAAACAATTTTTAAAATTAATTTTTATTAAAGAAGCTTTTTGCAAAGTAAAAACAATACCAATTTAAAGAAAAAAGAAAGTAAAGTGATGAATCAATAGAAAAGAAATGAAAAAAAAAAAGAAAAATTATATAGATGTATTGATATAAAGGAACTGCTTCCAATTTTCTTTACAGCAGTTATAAATGCATTTATATTTTATCCTCTCCCTCTAAGGTGGCATCATGGCTCCCTCTTTCCATATTCTACCCTTTCGAATCATCAGCCCCCTAAATCACAAGTTCATTTTTTTCTGTTTCCAGCAAAAAGTCAGAAACAAACGAAACAGATTGACAAGTTTGAATCTTTGCCTCTCTGGGCTCACGCTCCTTGTCACTTAACGCTCCCGTGGACTTTTAAGGCAAGGAAAGTCGTGGTCCCAACGCCCCTGGATCCCGAGAGGTTGGCAAGGCTGATTCTCACTAGGTCGGAGCCTACTTTCTGAGAGCCTGCGTTGGTCTTCCTGGCCACCTAAATAACCCGGGGAGACTGAGACCAGAATCTTTTACCCATGTTCACACGTGACACATATGCCCGTCATTTGAACAGGGGGTATTTCCAGGGGGTCCAGATTGGCAAGATGGGGGTATGGTGTTGCAAGGGCAGCCCTGCCCTCCACCCACAGAACCCCTTGGGCATTTGATCCCAGGACCCCGTCATCTTGCTTTGCTGCTCTGGTGGATGGCTTAGCG